GTATCTCTTCCTGCCTACAGCCTTGCTTCCTTTATCCCCCAGGTGTGTCATCAGAGTTCATCGTGAACACCCTGAATGCAGGCTCAGGGGCCTTGTCTGTCACCATTGATGGCCCCTCCAAGGTGCAGCTGGACTGTCGAGAATGCCCTGAGGGCCATGTGGTCACTTACACTCCCATGGCCCCTGGCAACTACCTCATCGCCATCAAATATGGTGGTCCCCAGCACATCGTGGGCAGCCCCTTCAAAGCCAAGGTCACAGGTGAGTGCCCCAGGTTGGGGAGGTCCACAGCCCAAGCCAGTGTGGACAGTGCTAGTGGGTGTTCTAGTCTTCCACCAGACATCATGGCCAAGTTACCAGGAAGGAAAATAGGCCTGGCTTTCTGAATCACTCAATTATACGAAGGCAGGCATGGCCATTTAAAAAAACTCCAACTCTTCTTATTTTTGTGCCCCCAACATTAGCTTAATCTTCTTTTTCCAGGTTTCCCTTATGTCTTGCTTTGAAAAAGATAAATGTTTGGCGAGTTTCCCTTTCTAAAGCTGCTAGAAGGACTTTGTTAGCTATGTAGTATGTTCCTTTTTTTTTTAATTATTATTCTATTTTTTTTCTTTTTTTTTGTCTTTTTCCTTTTTATCGGTACTGGGGATCGAACTCATGACTGCCTGCTTGCAAGGCAGGCGCTTATGCCGCTGAGCTAAATCGCCAGCCCCTCCTTTTCAAAACAAGGAAAACTTACGATGTGAGTTAGCTTGAGTTTCCAGACAAAGCCTAGCAGGACAAGGGACGGAGTCCTCAGACGCACGACCTAGGGATATGCAGGAGCTGGAGCTGGCAGTCTGGACATGTGTTTGAAATGGGGCTGTACCTCTTGAATGTCATAGCTGAGAACAGGATGTGGGGGAATGCAGTGCAGGCAGTGTGGGCTGGAAGCCTGAGTGCCACAGAGGTGTCAGTGCTGGCCCAGGGCTGACCTATGCAAGGGCAGGACCCCTCTGACTGGGTTCACGGCTACCCACTCTGCCCCTCAGGTCCTCGGCTATCTGGAGGCCACAGCCTTCATGAAACATCTACTGTTCTGGTGGAGACTGTGACCAAGTCATCCTCAAGCCATGGCTCCAGCTATAGTTCCATCCCCAAGTTCTCCTCGGATGCCAGTAAGGTGGTGACACGGGGCCCCGGGCTGTCCCAGGCCTTTGTTGGCCAGAAGAACTCCTTTACAGTGGACTGCAGTAAAGCAGGTATGCTCAAGGGGACAGGAGTGGGGGCCGGAGCAGGGTGTGGTGGGGGTGCAGGCCTCTGGGCCCTGGTGTGAGTCCATCACACTGTCTCCTTTCCAGGCACCAACATGATGATGGTGGGCGTGCATGGGCCCAAGACACCCTGTGAGGAGGTGTACGTGAAGCACATAGGAAACCGGGTGTACAATGTCACCTACACCGTCAAGGAGAAAGGGGACTACATCCTCATTGTCAAGTGGGGTGACGAAAGTGTCCCTGGAAGCCCCTTCAAAGTCAATGTGCCTTGAATCCCAGAAGTGCCTCCCCTAGCCTCAGCCCCCACCTCTGGCCAAACACTCACACCTGTCCACACACCAGTGCGCCACACCCAGATACACTCGCAGAGCCAGCACTGCAGACACCTGCCTTGGGTGTGACTTGAATGGCACAACCTCCCTGCCCTCCACGGGTGGAAGCTTTATCTGTCTCAGGCCAATGTCCTCTCTTGAATATGCTGTGAGGGAAGACTGGGGCCAGGCTCAGAGGCAGAGGCTGTGACATAGGGCAGCACAGGGGGTTGGGGGAGCCCTGAGTTTCCTGGTGGAGCCCTGGCCAGTGGGAGAGCATGGTGTTGGGTGTATCTGTGCATTAGAGAGATTACCCTCAAGTCACCCTGCCAGCCAGGCCACCTGGCCTGAGGACTGCACTGGGCCTCTGTGGTAGTAGCCACCACCCTGGAGTGTTACAGACTTGGAAAAGAAAGCACAATCAGAGAACAGACCCAGAACACACAGCATGTGGACTGCCCCAAGCTCTATATACCCACCCAACCAGGCTTCCTGGGGAACTGATATCTCTTTCTCCCCCTTCCCCTCCCTCCCTTTTTTTACGGTTGCACAGCTCTGCCCCATGGGGGCCCTTTTTTACACACTGCGAGGCCCAGCTTTCTGGGGGGTCTTTTGCACATGTCATGCAGCTCAGCTGGGAGCTGCTTAGGTGGAAAACTCCAAATAAAGTGCGGCTGTCGCAGAGGCTTGACTGTTCCTTGTGGGTATGCTCTGGGTGGCTGGCCATCACCTGGCATTGTGGCTCAGATTCACCCTGGGGAGGCAGAGGCTGGATGACTGTCTCCTGGCACAGTCAGAGGGCTGGGATGTTGGCAGAAAGCTTGAGAGACTGGAGTGGGGGTAGAGGCTGGGTCCTAGCCAGCGGGAAGCTGGAAGACGGTAGAGGGGAGTGGACACTATGTCCTGGAAGGCTGCCTGCCCCAGGACTTCCAGAAGGCCAGTTTCAGTTCAGCCTGACCTGGGGAATGCTCTTCAAATGAGGAATCTAAAACAGTGGGAACAGACGCAAATAGGCATAGTCTCCAGTCAGCAGGCAAATGGGACCTTCATTCCAAATCCTGGGTCACACCTGCTGCAGCCCCGCCTTCAGCCCTGACCTCACTCAGAGCTCTTCCTGGGCTCCTGCGCCCACTGAACCATTCTCCACGTCCTGGCTCCCTCCATTCCACAGTCCATGCTATAACTCAAGGGGTCCCCCTCCAGGCAGTATGCCCTTCTTCGGTTTGTGGCTTCCTCCTGCTCCAGGCTAAGTAGTCTACCCCTAAGGAGGCATCTGAGATCCCCCCAGGTTCAGGCACCTGCTCCCTATCACTCAAGTGGGTCAGTGTGCCCACTCCCCACTGCACCCTCCTGCAATACCCTTCATGGCCTCTACTTTCCCAGGTACCTATGCTGCAGTTTGGGCTTCTACTTGGAAACTGTCTCCTCTCTACCCTTGGCTTCCTGGTCCAGAGGAAATTTTCCTGGACCCTGACCTTAGGCATCTCTCTGATTACATTTACTACCCTGATCCACGACCAAGTATCCACCACAGCCTTGTGTACCAGCCTGAGCTCCCTGATCCTGAGAGATCTACTAAGGGTCTGAATGAACATGTGAACGAACAACTCAGTGGTAAAGCAGGAAAGACATGTTTCTCTCCATGGATCTGCAACAACAGGCTAGCCCTCAGACCCTTAGTAGTGGGACTGCCAGAAAAAACCCCCCAAACCCTTGGCTCCTGCTCTGACCACCCTCCTCCTCGTCTCTTCACCTTGGCCTGCCTGCTCCTCATTCCTCTCCGAAGTTTCTTCTTTCCCTTCCTGCATCTGGGAGGAGACACTTGTCCTTATACTGGATGTGCCTCTCAGGGTGTTTTCAGAGTTTCTTTTTACTCTATGTCGTCCCCTCCCTCTGATATTTCTCACCTTCCCCCTAGTCTTTCAAGGAGCCTCTAAGTGCAGAAATCAGATTTTATTAATCTTATATTTAACTCCTAACTGGGATCACATTTGATAAATGACAGCTGAATGAAGGAGTGGTGATGAATGTGATGGTATCCCAGATCCATTATCTGGCAAACTCATTAAAGGCAGATTTGTTCACCTGTGACCACTGAGGGCCAGCTGTGCCAGGTGACAGACTCCAACACCCTTGCAGCCACCTCACTCTCTGGCCCTCATCCCCCAGCCTCTGCAGTGAGGCCTTCCCGACTGCCTAGCTGTCCTCCCGCTGTGGACTGGTGCAGAGCTGTTCTCTCTCAGTCGCAGTGGGACACTGGGAGCTCAACCCTGAGAGGTGGGCCTCCTGTTATATGAAGAAACCAAGAATCTCAGTGAGATCAAAATGCAGAGTCAGACCCAAGTACCTCCAAACCTCAGGCTTACTGTGGGTACAACCACTACACCAGACCACACTGATATTCCAAGTGCTCCAAATTCACAAACTATGTATCAGTGCCAGAGGTTCCCATTTCTCGAAAGGCAGGAGAAAAGAGTAACCTTTCTCTTAGGATCTGTTTCTCTCACAGACCCCACTCCATCAGGATGCTGCTCCTATCCGTTTAGCTGCTCAGGCCAGATACCTGGAAGTCACTTGAGTTACTCTATCTCCAGCCCCAAACACATCCAATCCAAAAAGCAGTTTTGCCCACCCCTGCTCTAAATATTGTTTGACTTCGTTCATTTCTCCACATTCTCATTACCACAATGACTCCCCAGTTTGGTTTCTCCTCACTAAGTCTTGCCTCTGTCCACAACACAGTTCAATGGTAGCTCTAAAGCATAAATCCTATCATTATCTGCCGTTTGCTTAAAATTCTTTAGTTTTCAAGGAAACACGCAATTGTTTTTCTTTATTCTTAAACTCTCTAGTTGCCAAACCTTTGCATACGCTCTTTCTTTTGTCTAAAGCACCCTCTTGCACTCACTTCTATTCCTTTCACTTTGCTGGCCCTTCAAGTCTCAGCTCGTGTGAGGCCACTGTCCTTGGGAAGGTTTCTCCAAGCGCTTCCTCTCCCGAGGAATTATTTTCCAGGTTTGTGTGCTTCCATGGGCTTCTCACATTTTAACAACCAACAGGGTGCTTTTTACTCGCCTGTTCCTTGACTGTACTTCGCAAGACCGTACCATTAGTAACTTGTTCACTCCCTTAGTAATTACACTGCCACACTCCGACCTTCCTTAGGGTCTCAACGTCTAACAGCGCTGAATATAAAACATCGATGGAGCAAGACAGACAACCAGGACTTTTTGAAAGAGTGAAAAGCCAGAGAAACACTCCTTGTGTCGCACAGCCCTCTGGGAAGCGTAGTCTTTTAGTTCGGGCCTCTCAGTTTAGCGCAGGCGTATTCTGTAAGAGGCAGTGTTGCTACTAAAGCGCATGTCCCGGAGTGGTGACGGTGGAACTGCGCATGTCTAAAAGGCGGGGCTAGGTCCGCTTAGCTACGCTCTGCGGGGGCGGGACTTTGGCGACTTCTGGTTTTGGTATTGGAGCTGTCGCTGCCAGCTGCGGTGATGGCGGGGAGGGGGAAACTAATCGCAGTGATTGGAGATGAAGACACAGTCACTGGTTTTCTCCTGGGCGGCATAGGGGAGCTTAACAAGAATCGGCACCCTAATTTTCTGGTGGTAGAGAAGGATACAACCATCAATGAGATCGAAGACACCTTCCGGTACGGTAGCCTGCGAGGCCTAGAACGGGCAGCTGCCTGGGGGAGTGCGGGAGAGGGCAGAGGCGACCCGGGCTCCGAGGTGTCAGACCCCTACCGGGATGGGAGGCGACCCTCGAACTCTGTCCGCCCCTCTGAAGCAGAAGCCTCTGCACCAAGTTCTCTTTTGGGGCCCAGTGGTCTCGGGTCTGTGACAGGTCCTTAAACTCCCCCTCACATGACCGTGTGTCAGGAAAGAAGAGGAACCGAACTTGAGGGCTGTCCCTGTCATAGCTGGACGTCTGGGGCGCCCGGCCCGTGGAGACGGCCAGCCTCAGCAGCTCTTGCGGTCCCCGACCTTGACCGAAGAGTGGTCTGTTGGCTTTTACAAATGCTCGGCTCTTTTGCCAATTGCACCCTAAAGGAAACACTCATTGAAAATCTAGGCATTGGGCTTGGGCCTTGTACTCGCATCTTCCTTAGAGGCTCACAATCCTCTTGTATGTTGGAGGTTATTATTCTCACAAGTGAGAAAACTAAAGCTCAGGGAGGTTAAGACGTGCCCAAAAACACACCAGTGGGAAGTCATAGCTGGGATTTGAACTAAGAGCCAACGCTTTTCTGCCTGTACACACTCAGCTTGTGAAGTTGTCCCCAGTCTGCCTTGGAATTTTCCTTTGTCTTAAGCACAATCTGGGCTGTCTAGTTTTCAACTTAAAACCCTATACTTCTTCCTTCCCTGAACCAAGGATGATAGCTTCAATGTGTGGATTCAGGTGTGTCCTTTAATCTAGAAAATGTCTTGGTGATTAGAATCGATGGCAGATTTCTATTCTGTCCCTTGCTCTTTCTCTAGAGATCTTGTACCTCGCAGAAATACCCCCACTCACCTGTTTCCTCTAAACAGCTCAGCCCAGAGCTACTGGCTGAAACTGGTTCCTGCTGCCAGGGGTCTGATAGACCTTGACCTGAGAGCCTGCTATCTCCAGATCTCCAAGCAGTTGGTAAAGTGGCCCAAGTAGTAATGGAAGGAGGAAAATTGGTGATGCATACTTGTAAACCCAGCACTTAGAAGGCTGAGGCAGAAAGATTTCTGTGAGTTCAAGGTCAGCCTGGGCTACAAAGTAAGTTCAAGGCCAGTCTGAACTGCATAGTGAGACCCTGCTCAAAAAGACCTTTTTTTTTTTTTTTTTGGTCTTTTTCCTTTTTATCAGTACCGGGGATCAAACTCACGACTGCCTGCTTGCAAGGCAAGCGCTTATGCCGCTGAGCTAAATCCCCAGCCCCTGGCCCCCAGCTCTTGAGTAAAATTGCTTTATTCAAGGAAGAACAGACTGAGTTGAATGTAGCAGCCTTTCCCTTTGTCCTGTGCCCAGGTCCCTCTCATTCCCCTCCATAGCCCAGTGCTAGCACTTAGAGTGAGCTGCCTGAACGAAGGGGACAACTCCTCCCCAGCTGTCCTCAGCTTCTTTCCCATCTCCCGTCACAGGCAATTTCTAAACCGGGATGACATCGGCATCATCCTTATCAACCAGTACATCGCAGAGATGGTTCGACATGCCCTTGATGCCCACCAGCGCTCCATTCCAGCGGTCCTAGAGATCCCATCCAAGGAGCACCCCTATGACGCTGCCAAGGACTCCATCCTGCGCAGGGCCAAGGGAATGTTCACTGCCGAAGACCTGCGCTAGGCCACCCTGGCCCTGCAGCTCCCCATACCATGGCCAGGCCTCTCCCAGCCCCTCCCCTTCCCCTGCACTGCTGGATGGGTGATGCTTCTAGACCACCGGGGCTCTGCTGTTAAAATCAGCCTACTTAGGGACAGGATGTCCAACCATCTTCTCCTCTACCTCTTCCCTGTGCTGTTACTCAGTGACACTGTCGATGTTAAATTAAAGTGATATTCTTGGTTCTCTCCAAACTCAGGTTGGGTACTTGCTTGGGAAGGACTTGTTGGGCCAAGCCTTTGGGAGAGATTAAAGTATCAAGGTTCTGCCAAAGAAGTGCTAGGCCAAGAAGATTGGTCCAAGAGGCTGTAAGTCAGGATTGGTTATCTGGATCAAAGAAGACCATCTTGGGGGGCAGCGATGGAATTGAGAACTCCTGCACCCCAGTCTGCATGGGACTGGGGATAGAAAAAGCCCAGGAAACCAGGACACCTGTAATTCCAGATCGAGCTGGGTCCTGTAAGAGGTTTGAGGGTCCTGGCCACTTCAGAAAGGGTGGCATGTGAGGTCTACTGAGAGATGTCAAGTAGAACCCCGGCCCTGTGTGAGGTGGGGCTTGGTTGCCAGGTGACTGTCCCAGGGAAGCCACCTGCTGGCAGAAGGTCCCCACTTGCTGTTCACTCCTTGGTTGCATCTACCCTAGTACTGGTCCATCCTTCCTTTGCCACCTTATCTCGGCAGCTCAACATGGATACGCTGCGACAAAATTTCTGGAAGGAGGAATATCTAAGGGAAAAGATGTTACGGTGTGAATGGCACCGCAAGTATGGGTCCTTGGTGAAGGCCAAGCAGAAGGCCAAGGCTGCAGCCCACCTGCCCCTCAAACTGCCTGCCTTGGTCTCCAAGGCCCCACTCTCACCTCCACCTGTCCCCAAAGCAGTCCCTTCCAAGGCTCCCAGCCCTGTCCCGGAGGCTTCTTTCCAGTCAGAAATGTACCCAGTACCACCTGCCACGCGGGCCTTGCTGTACAAAGGCATCTCCCATGACTTGCAGGGGCGCTACAATTACCTCAACACCCGAAAACTGGACCTTCCAGAGACGCGCTACCTCTTCCCCATCACCACCAGCTTCACGTACGGCTGGCAGCTGGGTGAGCCCCAACCTCTCAAACCAGACACTTGCCAAACCTGGGCTAACAACCATGTGCCAGGGCGTGGGCATTCAGTGGGGGCTCCAGACCATAAACACAGAGCAAGGAAATTCACAAGAGAGAGAAATTCCAGGGGCTAGGGAATGACTGGGCAGAAAGACAGGGGAGAGGTGGTGCTTCAAATTCCATAGGAGGAGCTAAATGACAAGGGGGGAGGGCTTCCAATTTTAGTATAGTTAAAGGGAAGTCAGTGGAGGGGTTTGGGCAGGCAGGATGATGATTTACTTTTTTTTTTTTTTTTTTTTAATCTTTGAGACAGGGTCCCCCTATGCAATTCAGGCTAGACTTGGACTCATTTTGTAGCCCAGACTGGCCTTGAATTCATAGCAGCCTCCTCCCTCAGCCTCCCAAGTGCCTGATTTACTTTTTAAAAAGTTACCCTGTGTTGTAGGTAATAACTTTTCAGGGGAAGCTGTAGACTCTTGTAAGTTAGACATCTGCTTTGAGTTATCTTGGTAAGAGGTGCTGGTGGCTTCAGATCAATAGATTAACAGGACAGCTGAAGTTAATTCTGAATGTTTTAGAGGAAGACTCATTAGAAATTTTTGATGGGTTAAAATGTAAGAGGAAGAGAGAAATCACTGGCAGTGCCCAGATATTTGGTTGTAGCTGCTTCAATAGGGAAGACCAGGGGAGGATAGACTGGCGGGTACATGAGATGGGTCAGTTGGCCAAGGTAACTTGAGGTGTTAGGCCTATATATGAAAGTATGGCTCTCTGAATCAGCTCAGAGCTGAAGAGCAAGTTTGGGGGTCATTAAAATATATGTAAGTATGGGGCTGGGGATTTAGCTCAGTGGCACAAGCACCTGCCTTGCAAGCAGGTGGTCGTGAGTTCGATCCCCAGTACTGATTAAAAAAAAAAAAAAATATATATATATATATATATATATATATATATATATATATATGTAAGTGCTATTTGAATCATTGCAGTTGGATGAGGTCACTTGGGGAGCTCAAGTCACTAAAATCTCATCTGAGGGTTAGGTGGGCAGGACCATAGGCCAGCAGCAGTGGCAGAGGAAGGCTATCCACATGCTCGGAGTCCTTTTCCAGTGTGACTGAGAACTGTCTTCAGCTAGGAGGGAACCAGCCGAGTCAGTGTGGTATTTCAAAGAAGAGTGAAAGTGTGGGGCAGAGAATATGGCACTGAGTGTTGCCAGGTTGCTGGTGGTGGTGAGTGGGCCCTTTGTGTCGTGAATTTCAAGGGAGGTCACTCAGTCATGAGTTTTTCCAGCTGCTGAAGTGCCTGGGCCAAAAAGGCAGATGGCTGGGAGTCAGCACGGTTAAATTTCACCCGGTTTCCTCATTTTCCCCAGGGCCCTAACACAGAAGTCAGGGAGGGGAACAAGGTTTCAACAGAAGCAAGTGGGAAGCCCCAGAGGGGATGGAGGTGGAAGGAAGCCCATGGCAGTACCTGTCCCTGAGACAGCAGGGCTGGGGTACTGATGCCAGACAGCCGGTGGCCATACCACCCTCGCTGCTGTATTCAGCATCCAGCCTGTGTTTGCCTGTAGCTCCCACTCCTCAAAAGCTCTTTTTATTTTTTCATACTAAGTGGATACAAGAAGACCATACAGACAGACAGGGCTCCTAGGGTGAGTGTCTTCCCTGGGAACCTATTGCTGCTCACTTATCTTTTCCCAGGCCCCCCAGTGAAGCAAGAACTGGTCTCCTGCAAGATGTGCCGTATCGAGTCTTTCTTCCGCAAGAATGGGGTCTTTGCGTTGCTGGACCCCCGGGACCTGGCCCTTTGATCCCCGGCCTGGCAGCGGGTTACAGGAGGGAGGAAGAAATAACAGGCCTCTTGCTGCAGAGACGTTGTGCATGTTGTCTGCTGTCTGGGCTCCGAGGCTGTTTTCAGGGTCTTCCAGGACTGACCTCTGACTTCTTTTTCCTTAATGCTTTCTTCTTGCATCATCTCTTTGGGTACCCAGCAATGACTAGAGGGGGCTGGGAAGTGTGGGGGCTATTCTCCAGGCACAGGGTCTTCAGCATCTGGGGTCCACAGCAGCTCCTGGAAGTTATGGGTGTTCCTAGGGGGAAGAGTGACCTGTCGTTTAGATGAGAAGGGACCCCCTTTCCATCACCCCCAACCCTCCCCGCCCACCCCTCACCTGGCCCCAAGGGTCCGAAGCCGTCCGGTCCTCTCCTGGTACACTTGGTCCAGCCGCTCCCGCAGTGCGCGTCGCCATTCGGCGGCGTCCTCCTGGATGGGTAGGGTTCGGTGGGGCCCGCGCAGGCCGAACTGCGCCCCGTCCCGCCCCGCCCCGCCTCGCCCCGGTCAGGATCCTGATGGCACCACCTCCCCTGGTTCTTGCCTGAGTCTGGAGGTGTGCGGGGCCTGAAGGGAGTCCCAGAGGGTGGACCCGGCAGTGACGGTTCCCGGCAATGCGGAGTCGCTCCAGCACCTGGGGAGGCAGCGGTGAGCTCGGCTCGACCTCGTTGTCCGGCCCACCTGCCTTGCAGGCAGCCCCGACCCACCCACCCGGGGACGCACCCGGAGCCGCTGCTGCTCACGATCCCGCCACCGCCGCCTCCGAGCCGCGCCGTGCAGCTCCAGCAGTCGCTGCAGAGCTGACTCTTGCTGCTCCGGGCTCAGTCCCGGGGGCGCAGGCCATGCGGCTTTCGAGGTGGGGAGGCCCCCAGAGCCGCCCCTCCGTTCCCCGAGTGCACCGGGGAAACTCGCTTCCCCCACTGTCCGGTGCGCCGGGCCGCTGCTGCCTCCTGGCACAGGCACGGCCAAAGGGAGCTCGGGCCGCCCAGCGCTCACAGTGCCCCGTGTCGCCGGCATTCCGGCTCCTAGACCCTGGAGGGGAGCCCAAGCCTCCTCCCTGGGGGCCCCCAGCGTTGGCACAGCCAACTCATGACACTTGCCCTCGGTTTTGTCCCACTTCCCCTGAGTGGCCCTTCCCCTAGGGCCTGGGTTCCCCCTTTCCAAACTCGGGGGGCTCTGTTCTCCCACCGACATAGGGATGTCCCTCCACTGGCCCAGGGGGCTGCCTTCCTCCAAGAGCTGGGCGGTTGCTGCCCTCTGAGCCACCTCCCAGGCTGGTGTGATGTATCCTTCCCACGACTTCCAGGTTTTCATATCCTGACCCTGAGGATCCCTCTCTTGCAGGCACATGGGACTGTTTCCTGTTTGAGGACCTTCAGTGCTCTCTCCCTGGGGTGCCTCTTCTCTCTGACTCTGAGGTGACTTTTCTCCCTGACTGGGAGGGACTACTTTGTTCTCCCTTTGGGCAGCCTCCGCCCCCTCACCCCCAGGGACTGCCTCTCCTAGACACTGTGGAGAGTCCAACAGCAGCAGCAGTTTTTGAGGTTCTGCTCTCTCTCCCTCCAGGCCCAAGCCCAACCCCTTGGTTGGATATTGGGGTGCTAACAGGCCCTGGGAAGCCAAACTAGAGGGCCCTGGGGCTTCCTGATTGAGCTTTCTTCCCTCTGGGCTTCTAGGTGTTGCTGACCCTTGGATCATAGCCTCTGCTTGGCTCTTCTGTTCTCTCTGGACCAGGTCCTGGGAAGAGAGAGAGAGCACCGTGGGTCCAGTCTTGCTCCTAGTGCCTGTGGAAAGGCCCCTGGCCCAGTGGGGTAGGGGACGCAGGGGGTAAGACACCTCAGTGGCCCACTTGCCTGATTTCTGAATTTGTCGAGGCCATTTTATGTGTTGTTAAAGTTGCTCAGTGATGGGCCTTCTTCCACTTGGTGCAGGAGGCAGCCCCACCTCACACCAGCAGCCTGTCCCCAGGCAAACCCGTCCCCAACCAGAGAGAGGCCTTGCCCAGATCCCTTTGACCCTTTCACCTTGAACACTGAATTTCCTGGCTCCTCAAAGCACCTGCTGGTAGTTGGATTCATCTCCTGTAAGCAACCTGAGGGAGAAAGACCAGTTTTGAGAGCTCTCGGTCACGCTGCAACCCCTCCCACACATGCTCTGAACTGGTCCCAAGAAGCCCAGTGTAAAGGAGAGAGGGGCAGCCTAAGGGTGCTGCTTCAACTTCACGGCTGTCACAGTTCATTATCCCACCTGTATTCTCAGCCTGTCCTGCATCTGCCTGTCAGGTGTGCTTGCCAAAACTGACCTCATCTCCCTCATCCTGCCAGCCAGGGCAGAGCACCCTAAAGCACCCTGAGTTTGCCTGGGAAGGAGAAGAGCTAGTTTTCTGGGGCCTGTCTGCACAACGACACTCCATTTTGAATTGGTGTGCCAATTCAGACCCAGAGAGAGAAGGAGAGAGAGACAGAGAGAAACCCATGTGCATACTTTTTCCTGTTAAGGAAAATTTTCCTTAATAGGAAATTCAAATTTCTGACCCCAAACTCAAATGAAATTCAAATTTCTGACCCCAAACTCAAATGAAATTCAAGAAATGAAATTGGAAGATGAGCCTGGCCTAGAAACTGCAAATGTTCCTCATTAACAAAAGAAGTCTAAAAAAAGAGGTGCTGTCGATACTGCCTTGCAGCTGTGGAGGAAAAAGAGATGTTCTGCATCCATCAAACTAGTTCATCAAACCTGATTTCCTAAGTTCTTAAATTGAGAGCTTTCACAAGCATAGCGCATCTTGTTCTGCTGGGCAATACAGACATGTGAATATTCATAACTTTAACCAAATGGATATGTTCTCTGTGAAAATAGATCTTTAAAAAGGTTTTTAAACAAAGGAGTTTGGTAAGACTCCCGGCCTTTAGAAATGATTGCCATGAATTTTGAAACAACCTCCCATCCCTTGCTCTGGGATGCTGATCTGTTGTCTTTCACTAGAGAGTTTATTTATCAGGTAATAGTGTAATTAATATCTGTCTTCCCAAGAGATAAAATACTTGCAAGAGCTTCCGTCAATCAGAAGAGTATTGTTGCTCTCCTATCCTGTGTGCGAAGGAAGAATTAAAGCATACTGTTGTTGGGTTTGGTGGCACACATCTATAATTCAAGGCTCAGAAGCCTGAGGCAGCAGAATCGCCATGAGTTTGAGGCCATCATGAGTTCATGGCCAACCTGAACTACATAGTGAGACCCTGAAGAATGACCCAAGTCCTTGGACTTGAGCTGCGAAGGTCCCTGTCTTCCAACCTGGTCTGACTTTTCCAACTCCAGGGTCTCCCTGTTAGCCTGGCTGCCTGATCCCCACCCCCACCCTGTCCACGTACCAGATGTGGCCTTTTCAGGTGTGCCAGAGCCTTCCTGCCTTGGGTCTATGTCACGCCTGGCTTCGTGCAGATCTGATACAGGTGACCAGCTTGGTGCCTGCCCCCTGCAGGAGTCCAGGGGCTGCCTCAGGTGCATCTCAGGTGGCCTCTGGGCTCAAGAGGAGGGAGGAAGCCTAGTCGTCACTCTCCCTAATCTCCACCAAACAGTGTCCAAACACTGAGTTCAGGGTGGCCACCCCCAAGCCCTATACCAGCTAGATCCTGGGAACTGGAACTCAGGGGTCTCCCTACCAGGGGTAGTAGAGCAACCAAGTGTGCAACTGAGGACCTGGAAGGAGCCAGAAACATGAGTAGGGGCACAGGGCAGGACAGTGGAAGGAGTCGGAAAAGGGCCGGGTCCTGGGTCACTCTGAAGTAACACAGGAAATACGAGGTTTCCTAGGAAAGAGATGCACCCTTCTGAGCGCTGATGGGAGTCCTTGGCTGGAGGTGAAGGGCATAGCCTAGAACTCTGAAAGGGTTGGGGAACCCAGATCCTCAGGACAGCACCCCACGGTGAGGAAGGTAACCCCTAAGATGGCTCCAAGGTGCCTGCTCCTGGTACTCAGGCTCTTGTGTGACATTTCCTATCCACAGAAAGTGCATAGAACATTTCCTTCCTGCTCTCCTGAGTCTTGCCAGGAAACTGCAGCCCTGGCCTGACCCTTCCTTAGTGAGCTTCCCTCCTGTAGCTGAGATTGCCACCACCCAGAGCTGCTGCTGCCTGGCTTACAGCGCTCAGGCAGCCAGTGGCTGAACTGGCACTGGGATCCACATCCCCAGTTCTCAACTCTATTTCAGGGCCCATCTCCACAGCAACCTCCTTTGGTGTCTCTATCCATCTCAGGGCAGCCTGGGCATCAGCGCCTCCACCCTCTTAGGACCCTCGGTAGCCACATTAAAAGGCTTCCTGGCCAAAAAAAATGGGCTGGGGAGTTAGCTCAGCGGCATAAGTGCCTGCCTTGCAAGCAGGCAGTCTTTGATCCCCAGTATCGGTAAAAACGAAAAAGACCAAAAAAAAAAAAAAAAAAAAAAAAGGCTTCCTGGCATTGGCACACAGTTGATTGACCAGTCACTGTGGAATAATAGCAGCCTCCTAGTAACAAGCATGGGTGTGTGCCAGGCTCCATGCAAAGTCCTCTAATAAGTTCACAGGTAATTCAGCAGGCTTGGAGAAAGATCTACCATCATCCTCATTTGATAGCTAAGGAGACTGAGGCTCACAGGCCTCACAGGGGGCATCAGAGCAGATTTGTGGGCAGGGCTGTCAGTCTCCAAAGGCCATAAACCTTCCATTTCCCTCACCTCCACCATGGCCCTCAAGCCACATGTGCCCCTGCTCACCTCACTTACCTGCTGCTCAGAATTCCCACCCATCCTACCGAGGGGCTGGCTGTACTGGCTCCGTGTGTGCTGGGCCTGGTGTCTCTGATACCAGAACCGGGTCCAGGAGGGCCAGAAGAGGCCCAGGCCTGCCCCAGTCAACAGCTCCAGGTCCCAGAGGAGCTGTAAGAAGGTGGGGAGCCAGGATGTAAGGGGGCACCGGCCCTGTCCCCTACCACCCACCCTCCACCCTGTCACCCTACCTGCTCCTGGGCCCGCCGGCTCCGCTCCATCTCCAGCAGCACAGTGGGCAGTGCCAGCCCTAGGGGGCAGTCTTCACCCAGTTGTACCTGGGTTGGGCAGAAAAAAAGCATCAGGCCCCTGCCCACCCTCTCAGAGGCAGTAAGTACCAGCCTCCTCACCTGACGCAGTGCAGCCTGGAGCTGGCCCAGCCTTGCAGGGCGCTGAAAGAGGAGCTGGTACAGGGCCAAGGCCTGCTTGGGGCTACAGGGGAGCTCTGGGTCCCCAGGAGAGGCTGCCTGTGCCATGGGGAAGAAGTCAAGGCAGATGTCCCTCCCTGCTCTGCCTCTACCATCAGAGCAAAGAGGTGGAAGATGGGCAGTGAGGACCAGGAGCAAGGTGGAACAAAAGCTTTGATCTCAATAATGCAGGGCCCTGACACTTGAGCCAGGGCCTAACAGCACCTGAGCCTCATGATGTCACGCTGAGTCCTAGACAGGTTTCTTGGCTTGCAGGTGGCAGTGTGGAACACTGAGTGTGACCTTTGCAAAGAGCTATGTGCATACTGCTTCATGGCCCCCATTGAGGACTTATACACACACACACACATGTGTGAACTCTGTCATGTGAGCATACAGCGGCGGTGGCTCCTGGCAGGTTGGAGGACCCTCTCCACAGAATCCCTCCTGCCTGTGCTGCAGGAAATAGGTGCTGTTGTCATCCCGGTTTACAGAGAAGCAGCCTGGCTCCAGAGAATCACTTGCCCTGAGCTATGGCCATGTTTCCTTAACCTGGATATGGAGGACCATGGCAAACAGGCTCTGGGGAAACACAGTCCCAGGAGATGACCAGAGCGGAGACGGTGTGAGCACACGAGGCTGTGCAATGGCGAGCAGGGCTGGGCCTGCTGCTACGAGCAGTCTGCAGTCAGTTCAGCAGTGCCTCCTGCTAGATGCGTGCTGTTGCCCCATTTTACCGATGAAATCATTTGTGTAAGTATTAAGAAGGCCAGGGACAAGACATAGGAGACATCTGGGCTGTTGAGTGCCCCCCCAAAGGCCACTGTGAAAGGCTTGGTTCAGAGGGCGACACTACTGGGAGGCCCTATCATCACCTTTAGGGACGGGGTCCGGTTCTTAGTTCACCAGTAGTGTATTCTGGAAGGAGGCTGTGAGAACCCTGCCCCATCCTGTCTCTCCCCATTTCCTGCCTCGTGATAGAAGCTCTAACACACACTCCCTGCCATTGCTATCGAGTGCCCTCAGCAGGGGCCCAAAGCAACAGGCTGCTTGATCTTAGATGGAAATCTCTCTCGCTTAATTAAGTCACAATAAAGAGCTTGGCCAGGCCCTCCTCTGGAGCACTGAGCCCTCAGTCCACATTACAGGGGCCTGTAATGACCATGGAGTTCCCCTAATTAGCTGTGATCTGTAAGCTCCAAGGTCACACAGCTGATACACGGCAAGGGAAACTAGAATTGTGAAATTTTCCGTTTTGAGACCCATGTCCTCTCCCCTACGCCATCCTCACGGGCAGGTGCGCATGCTCACACTCATGTGTCCCTGAAGGTGTCTGTGCACGTGTGTCTGTATTTTGTCACTGTATATTATCCCTCCCTGCCTTCCCCCATGCATGGGGTCCCTGAATCACCAGCTCTTCAGGCAGCCCAGAAGGTAGCCGAGTACTTAGTACCACCAACCATAAGGAAAGAAAGGGGAGCCATGTATAGAGTGAGCTTCTTAGCAGCTGCTCAGGCCATGTCCGCTACAGACCAAAAAGGACAGCGCCAGGATGCCTGGGTCCTCCTGCCCATGTCAGAGTTTCCCAGATAACATCAGAGAGTGGCTGGTTGGAGCAGCCCAGTGTCTCAGGCATGAGGACTGAGCAAGGCCCTCTGACTCTGGGGACAATGAGTGCTGGCTCCATGTTCCCAGCTGCTCGACCACCTCCCCAGTGCCAGGAGAAACACACACACACAGACACACACAAGGGAGTCTTGAGCAGGCCCAGAGTTTACTGCTGTTTCTTTACAAGACAGAGGCCCAGGCTCGCAGGGCCTAGCAGGGCGTTATCCCCACAGCTCTGACTGGGGTGGTTATTACTGTAGCCAAGAGAAGACTTCTGGCCCAAGGAGGCCCAGCTGGGTATCTCTCTAGCTCAGGGTGGAGCTAGGGGCTGCTCCTGACCACGCAGTGTTGAGTGGCTGGGCCCCTGTGAACAGGACTGGGGGGCAAGCATCAGGGGGGATACAGTGGCCCTCATGTTCCACCAGGCCTGCCGGGCACTGGCAGCCAGGGACACAAGGCCTCACACAGTGGGCTGCCAGTTCTTCCAAGGGGATGTGCTGGTTGAAGCAGGTGCGGGGACAGGGTGGGCCACATTCATCAAACACGAAGCCTCGGTCCAGGGGGCAGCCCACCACTGCAGGAAGAATGGAAGGCAGGGTCATGGGGGTCCCCCCATCAACATTGCTTACATCTTGTAGACCTCTCCCTGTACCCACCCCATGCAGATCTGAGTCCCCTGGGCCACCATCCTTGCACCATCTCCCCCCAACCTGCAACCTCATCACCCCCTCACCACACAGGGTAGGGCCCCTCCAGACAGGTGTCACGCCTGCTTGGCGACAGTGACTGGCATAGGCCTGCAGGGCATCACAGAGGCAGGCATCGGCTGAGGGGCCAGGGCCACAAGCACATAGGTCATACACACAGGCAGCAAAGAAGGGCTCTGGGGGCACCACAGCATGGCAGCGGCTGAATGAGGAGGATTTCAGCTGCCCACACCGAACATTGGCCTCACGCCTGGCACGGTACCCTGCTGCCCGACATGGATCCACTTCTCGGCCTGCAGAGCAGGGCTGGCCAGACTCTGGCCCATCTGGGACCTACATGGAGACAACCTTAGTGTGACAATAGCCTGGCAGGTGATGTTTGTGTGCTGTATCTTCACAGTACTTCCCACCCAATCATTTGCTTTAGCCTCAAAAAAGAAAGAAAAAACAAACTCCCTTTAAACTGGGTGTGGTGGTGCACACCTGTAATCCCAGCACACAGGAGGCTGAAGCAGGAGGACTTCCATGAGTTCAAGGCCAGCCCAAACTAGAGAGCAAGACCATGTTTCAAAACGAAGCAAAAAAACTGCCTTCAAGAAGAGAAAAGGAAGGGGCTGGGGGTTTAGCTCAGCGGCATAAGCACCTGCCTTAAAACCAGGCAGTCGTGAGTTCGATCCCCGGTACCGATAAGAAGGAAAAAGACAAAAAAAAAAAAAAAAAAAAAAAAGAAGAGAAAAGGAAATCTCATCTACTTTTTCCTTGTCCTCATTTTATAGATGAAAAAAACCAAAGTAAGTAACTTGTCCAAGGTCACACAGCCAGTAAATGGCAAGGCAAGACTTAGGGCTTCAGCTGATGAGGCTTCCTTCATTAGGCAATCGTACTGTCTACCACATGCATGGGGCCCCCAAAGCTCCCTGAAAGCCCAAAAGCCCATCTGGGGCCTTCTTGTCATACCAGAGACTATGCTGGGACTCACATTTTGCTGTGCTCAGCTCCTTCCACCTGCCCCAGCTAAGGCCTCTATGCCACTCACCTGCCAGCTATTCCCAAATGCAGCTTCTGTGGGCAGGAGCAGCCCGTTAGGACCCTGCAGATCATCCTGGGCAAAGCCATTGAAGTTCCCACAGAGTCCACAGGTGTGGCCCCGGTAGGAGCCGGGTACCCTCACCTCCACCTGGGACCGCCCGTCCCACAGCACCTGCACAGAGAGGCCTGAGACTGGGGAGGAGGGAGTAACGGAGCAGAGAGACCCCCAGGAGCCCAAGGTCCACCATGGGCCTGCATGTGTCAGCATGTACTGTGCCATAGCGGGGAAGATGGGCCAGTGTAGGTCCCTGGCCTCGGCCAGGTCACCACCCATGACACAGCCCTGGGAAAACACAGGTGACAGTGGAGCTGCCCATAGCTCCTAAGTGAGGGCAGTTTCTCCTTTGCCACCCCTCAGCTGGGCCCCGGTACAATGCCACCCTCTTCTGAGATTCAGTGTCTCCTGACCTTCAGGCTGTACAGTTACAGCCTGGGTCAGAAGAACACACAAGCCTGATTTCATGACTGAGGCAGCAGGGTAAGTCACTTTTCCCTATGAGGTCAGGAGAAATCTCACACATCCCCTACGGTACCTTAGTTGACACTTTCCCCACCCCTACTTGCCCTCTCCTCACTTTGCAGATGGAAAACCTGAGTCTCAGAGATTTGCAGATGAAAAATTTGCAGATGAAAAACCTGAGTCACAGAGATTTACTCCAGCAAAAATGTGGCTGAGTCAGGAGTAAAACCAGGGACTGGGAGTGTAGCTCAGTGGTAGAACACTTGCCAAGCAAGTGAGGCCCTCGGCTGGATCTCTCACACTACTGAACAAAACAAAGTCGGGCCCCAAATTCCTCTGCTTCTAGTGGTCTCTAGCCTGGATTTCTTTCCTGGGAATCCAGCTGCATCCTCTTACTCAGCTGCCTCACTGGGCCCAGGAGGCGGCTGGTCTCCTATTCCCTCTATCACACAGAGCCTAGACAGGCCCATGGATCTCAGATCTTCCCTTGGGGAACTCAGCCCGAGCCAGTCTCCCCTCAAGCCTTACCTGAAGTCCAAGCCAGGCATGCAAGATCACAGTTTGTCCCCACAGCTCCACATACAGCAGTGGCTCCTGCAGGAAGGGCAAGGCCACTGGGCGCTGGTCCACCTGGGGGAGAATAAAGAGGGTGCAGTGTTGGGCAGATGAGAGGACAGTGCTGGACAGCACCCTTCCCCAGGTCCTCAGCTCACCAAGACGGTCCTGCCCTGCAGCAACTGTACAGCCACGTCTCCCAACAGCACTGCCACCTCCTGGGTCCAGGCCACACCACTCCGGCCCCGGTCATCGTTGGTGACATGCACACTATGGGCAAGAGAGGCCTGGGTGCCCGTGGTCAGCAGGGCTGGATGTGAGGTTCAGATAGAAGGGAGAGGGGTGCGCACCTGAAGTCCCCACCATGGCAGTCCTTGACCAGGACGTAGCTGCAGCTGCCCTGGAAGTGCAGCAGGCGGCCGTCGAAGGTGCGGTAATGGGGGTCTCCGAAGGCCATGCAGGAAGCAGGCCGGGGCAGGCAGCGTGGGCAGCAGCTGCCGGGACTCAGGGCAGGGGCCTCGTTCTGGCCTCAGCCCCAGACAGCATCAGATCCCAGGTGTTCCCTGTCTGGACCCAGTCACCCACCCAGGCTCACTGCAAGAGGGATCAGGGCACCACCTGTGGCCGTACCTGGAATAGCACCTTCCTGGGCTACACCACCCAGCACCCTTCTCTCAAGCCTGGTTACTCTTGGACACAGTTGTGTCCAGTGCACCTGCACCCCACTACCTCGGTGACCATGTGCTCACCGAGCTGCAAGATGGTGGCGGGCAGTGCTGGCTGTGGCAGTGTACGGTGCCAGCCACGCAGGAGCAGTTGGTGCAGACATCTACAGTCCAGTGCTCCCCAGAGGCCACCTGACGGCCCTGGTGTTCACATGACTGGGTGGAGGCTGAGGGGACAGGAGGCAGGCAGGCTCAGGGACTCCTCTCTTATCTTGCTTATGCCTCCTCCATCCTTCTGGCCCCTCACCTTGACATTTCTCACAGCAGCTGCCATCTTTGAACACCCGGCCATGGGGACATGAAAGGGGCTGGCACTCCTCCAGGTGACATTCCACATGGCCCCGCTGAGGACAGACATCATTGCTCTAGGCGTTTCCCTCAGGCCCTGGGGTCCCCCCTGGTCTCCATATCTGGGAACCTTTTGGGCAGTCTTTAGGCAGCATCCCCCGTCTGTCTGCTCCCGACCCATCACGGTTCAGGCGGGAAATGAAATCCAGCCCTCAACTCCTTTCCCAGCACAGAATACTGTGCACCTCAAGGACCACATATTTGCTGATGGATGTCACACCTTCCCCTCTTTATCCACCTATGAAACACCCCCCCCCCCCATTACCCGGCAGGTGCAGGCAATACAGGCATTGCTGGGGTCCCGCCAGCTTTCTCCATCTGCCACTCTCCGGCTTCCAGCCTCCACCACACATTCTGAGGGGAACGAATGGCCTGGCTTGGCACTGTCCTTCGTTTTGCATCTCCCTCCCTGGACTCACTCTGTGCTCTCCAGCTGAGAAGTGCCCACACCATTCCACCATCACTCAGATGGAGCTGATTTCTTCAACCAACATCCAGAAAGCCTGGCCGGTGCTGGGCATTGCACTAGTCCTCTGGATGTCTCCAGGGTCATGGAGACCCAAAGAACCAGACCTAGAACCTGCGTCTGGGGCTGCTGCTAGTGCTGCACTGCAATGCCTACTGGTGGGCCAGGGTTCTGTAAGCACCACGAAGGCCTATAGTCCAGGTCTTGAAAATCCAGGGTAGGGGGCTGGGGATTTAGCTCAGCAGCATAAGCGCCTGCCTTGCAAGCAGGCAGTCGTGGGTTCGATCCCCAGTACCGATAAAAAGGAAAACGACAAGGAAAAAAAAAAAAAAAGAAAATCCAGGCTGACCTCCCTCCCTCCTTCTGCCTCATAGGTCTCCTCTCTTCCCCAACAAATGGCTTCTTCATTTATTCAAGAATGAAACCTACATTCAGAGTGCAGACCCCAGGCTCATGAATGCCACTGCATCCTGTCTGTCTCCCTCTGGGGTTCCTCTCTGAGGAGGTGAAGGCTGACACTTACCCTGGCACACAGGGCAACAGCTCCCAGGTGGTGTGTGGTGCTCCAAAGGGGGACAGCTGAGCTCAGGACAGGTCCGGCGAATGCAGAGCCATGTCAGGTCCTGCCCGTTGTCATGGCAACATCATAGGCAGAGACAGCAGGTCTCAAGGAGTTGGCAAGGTGCAGGAAGGGGAGGACACAGGTAGGACAGGACATTCGGGGGGTGAGCGAAGATCAGAGAGGGTCTCAGCCCATGAGGACAGTTCCCAGGGCAGAGGGCTCACCTGGCACCGGCAGGTGTAGCAGGGATCTGTCGGGGCTAGCTCAGACCCCAGGAGGCTCTCGGTGCAGTTGCTCAGCGCCTCTGTGGAGACAAGAAGCTGGTATGGAAGAGGCTGGAAAACAGAGCCAGGGTCACACTCGCGGCTCTGTCCTGAGTTCTTGGGCCCAAGGTGTACCTATATCCCAGGGATCTTGACTCCAGGGAGGACACATCCTCTTTCCCTTTCACTCAGTAAAGAGAAGTTTGGTCTCCTAACATGGATCTTTGCTATCCACTAAGGAGCAGGAACTGCAAACTGACAGTGTGGCTCCCTCAGTCTGGGGTCCCTAAGAACAGCCAGGCTGCCTGGCCTGCTCCCATGCCACTTCCTTTCACACAATCTGGCTAAAGCAGCACGGGGAAGTGCAGGAAGGCAGGCACCCCAGTTCTCATCCCAGCACTGGCACTCAGTGCCTGCATCATCATGAGCAGAATAACCAACCTCTCTTGTCTCAATTGTAAAAGGGATAATTTTCACTAGATAATTGTGGAAATTGTGGAAATTGAATGAGATACCACCTCCATCTTTTAAAATCCTCATTCTAAAGGGAAAAACAAAAACAAACAAAATACAACAGCTCTCCTAAACCTGTCAGCCTGCGGCCCCTCTAATCCTCACCTCACAAGCCCCAGGGAGCCTGCAACTGGCACAGTTGTCACTCTGCAGCGCCACCTGCTGGGTAAGGTGCTCCACAAACACGTCCAGCTGCTGAGAGACTGGAGTCCCTGTCAGCTCACCTCACTCTTCCTAGTTGCCCTGTGACTGTGTCCACCACACTTACCAGGGCAAGGGCCACCAGAACAATCCACTGGAGTCTGGAAAGGCCTGGGGCTGGGCCCAGGGAGGACAGCTGACTGGCTTTTCTTGCATCACTCTGTGGGTGGATCTCTACCCTCTTAGCTTATCTACCATGTACCCCAGGACTCACGGGCACAGGTAGGGCAGCAGTGTTGGGGCTCAGGGATCAGGAGTTGGCTGGGTGGGCAGCCCACCAGACTGGGACACTGCCGCCGATGACAGCGAAGGCTGGGAGGCCCCTCAGGCTGTGGCTATAAAGGCAAATGCGTGAAGGTTGGGGGCCAGTCCATGAACACAAGAGGCAGCCCTCTGCCTCCCCGATGTGCCTTCTCCAGGGTGTGTGCAGGCACAGCAGAATCAAGTCTGAAGGCAGGCTCAGTGTCTCCCTAGACTTGTGCCCCCCCCCCCATGTCTAATGCCAGCAGGGACAGAACTCTCAGGTGTCTTGTACTGGAGCTCTCCCACCACCCTGGCCATCTCCACTGCCTGTCTTTTGGCCCATGGCATCATTCACCTGCTCAAACTCTTCGATGGCTCACCACTGTCTTCCATGACATCTGCATACTCTAGATGGCTCCCCATACCTCCCCCAACACCCTGCCCCTCAGAAAGCCAGAAGAGTCGCACACTGCTTCCTCGACTCGGACCTTGTGCTCCATGTTTAATGTGCTGGCCCTGCTGGCCCCAGTCCTGCTCAGTCCTGACCGCAGGGGCACTCTTCCATCTCAGACCCCATGGTGCCTTTTCCCCCCAGCAGTGACTTTGCCATCTACAGCATCTCCCTTGGGGTGCCCCCAGCCTCCTACCTCACAGATGCACACTTCACAGGGGTCTGCCCCGGGCTGGAAGCTTTCACCAGCCTCGTATTTCCGGCCCTCATGCTCACAGCCTTGGGATGAGACAAGAGCAGGGCACCACCAGGAAGCCTTCAGGCAGGCAGTGATTCCAGGGATGGGGTCCTCTGCCTTTGAGTCCCCCCGCCCAGGACTGCAGAACGGAGGCTACTTCTAGAGGATCCCTTCTCTTCCACTCACTCCCCACCAAGGTGGGGAGGTACGGACCCCAACCCATCCTGTCCCCATTCTAGGGTCCCAGCACCAGTACCAGAACATCGAGGGCAGCAGTCACCAGGCTCCAGGTGAGGCTGGGCACAGGAGCTGACACACTGGATGTGGGCACAGGTGACGATGCCCTCGTGACACATGCAGGAGGAGCAAGGGCTGTCAGGGAGCACCCAGCTACTGCCTTCAGGGTGCTCCTCCCCATGAGCCAGGCAGCCTGCAGTCCAGAGGCAGGACTAAGCTTTGCATCTGAGATCTGACATCTGTCCTGCCCCCTCCCCCAGGTGATCAGCAGGACGTGTGGGCACCAGGGCGGAGGTCTGCTGGGATGTGGCAGGGAGGGAAGCAGGGATAGAGTTCTGTCTGTGGCAGAGGGGAAAGGCACGGAGCAGGGTCACAGCACCTGGGATGGCCCTGTCCTGTCTGCCTGCTTGCTAGAGCGAGCGGCACGCAGCAGGCACTGTCCACTGCAGCCCTCGTGGATGCATGGGCATACAACAGGTCTGTAATAAATGCATGGCCCTCGCCAACTGTGTGCCCCAAGAAACCTAATATCTTCAAGCCTCAGCCTCCTGCTCTGTTAAACTGAAACTGTGTCTGTCCTGCCCACTCACAGGGCAAGTGGCCCAGCAGGCTGGTTCATGTTAACTAGGTGGCACCGGGCAGCATGTGGCACCAGGGACAGCAGACAGGCTCAGACATGTTCTGAAGCCAGTGGTCTCCAGCCAAGGCAAATTAGGTTACCTCTCTGTAACTCTGATTCTTGTTTGAGGGTTTATTTATTTATTTCATCTCTGGGAGGTGAACCCAGGGAGTACCAAGCATATCCAGCCCTGTGTTTTTGGTTTTTGTTTGTAAAGATGTAATAACAGCATTTATCTGATAAGGCTGCTGTGTGGACTAAATGAGATAATAGGAGTGACGTGCTTAGCCTGGCCTATGGTATGTGATCAGTAGATGCTAATTATCATGATGATTAGTGTTATGAATGGGGTGTGGATAGAAGAGCAGAGCTTTCAGGACTCTTAACCAGCACCTGGCAGGCCAGGACAGGGAGAAGGTGGAAGAGCTGAAGGAGCCTGGGGTGGCAGTCCAGGACGGACTCTGGAGGGCCACTTGGCAGGCAGGCCTGGTGGGGCTGAGCATGGGCGTGGATAGCCCTGGGGGCTGGCCTACCTCTGCAGCGAGGACAGCAGCTCCCCGGCTCTGTGACCTGGTGCAGGCATGGCAGGGGTGGGCACTGCAGCCGCGCACAGCTGACCTGGCCAGCCTACAGGAGATGTGGGGCCAGCAGTTTGCTACCAAAGTCAGGGGGCACCAACGCCCTCACCTCATACCCTCCTGATCCTTGCAGTACCTGACAGCGACACCGCTCACAGCTGCCTGCAGGGCCCTCAAATTCCTTTCCATCTTGGTGCTCCTGGCCCCTAAAATGGCAGCCTGTGGGAGACACACTTCCTGGGTGGGAACCTGTGCCACCCTGCCCTGCCCTGCCCTGCCCTGCCCACCCTCAGCTGGGCAGGAAGGGAGGAAGAGGGCACAGCATGAGGCTAGGGCAGCAGAAGGCAGCTCACTGCGGCAAACAGGGCAGAAGCAAGGTCCCGGTGAGGGGTGAGGGCAGGGAGCTGGGCGGCATGGTCTCCTCTGGCAGCGCATGGAGCCTTCCTGGCGGGGAGAAGACACATTACTACTTCTGCCTCCCACTCCAATGCACCCTCAAGCAGGCTTGCTGTCTCTTGGTGGGCCTGCGACTGAACTGCCAGGCCCACACCCGCTCTGCTGGCCCAGAAGCCCTCAGTCCAGTTCCATCCCCAGAGAGGTCAGCCGGGTGAAGGAGATGCCCTCCCCAGCAGGAAGGCAGCATATGGAGTGAAAGGACACCAAGGTCCTGAAGGCAGCGCCTCACCTGGCAGGTGCAGAGGGAGCAGGTGGGATCAAGTGGGTCAGGAAGGGTCTCTCCGGGGGCAGCAGTGACCCCATGGTAGAAGCAACCTGGCAGAGAGGGGAACACCATGAGGGCCATCATAGACAAACCCCTCTGATATCACACACACAACCACGGCCAGGGACCTCCCAAAAGCTTAAGGTTAAATGACTGTCTGGGACAGGCAGGGAGAATGAAGTGTGGCAGAAAAAACAGGGCATCGGCCAGGCCGCAGAGAGCAGGATTTGCGTCCACGTGGGGCTGGAGGACAAGCAGATGGCACGAGGCATATGAAAGATAGCTGGGGACTTCCTGCCAGGGGGGAGCCCAGGCACACTGGACATGTAGCCAGCTGGGCTGGGCCAGGCAGGATGGGCTAGTGCAGCTGTTCCTCCTGATTAGTGAGTGACTCCAGAGCAATAGGACAGTTGTGAGCAGGATGTCATATTTTAGGAAGGCAGTGAAACAATCTAAGAGTAGGAAGGATCGGAAACCAAAGGATCAATTATTTGCTGAGTGTGAGTCTGGAGTGAGGCGACAATACAGAGAGGAGAGCGCACAGCGACAATACAGAGAGGAGTTGGGAATGAGTGTGATGGTATATGTTTGTCTCAGTAGAGAGCTGAGTGGCTTAGCTGGGTGGCAAAGTCCCTGACCACTGGAGGCCCTTGGGAGCCCTAGCAGGGGGACAGAAAGGCAGGTATAGCTCTACCCTGGCAGACTGGGCAGCAGTGCCCCAGTGGGGTGAGGGCATGAATGCAGCCTGGAGGCTCACAAGGGCGGCGACTGCAGGTCACGAAGCCTCCAAGGCAGGTGCACACGTTGCAGGGTTCTTGGGGATCTGGGAAGTCCTGGCTGCTCAGGTAGGACTCGCCCAGGTATTCACAGCCTGCCAAGGTGAGAGGGAGAGGGTGGGCTGGAGGGAGAGAGCATTGGGAATTGGGGAGAGAGGAGGAAGAGGAGGAGGGAAGGAAGGGGAGATGAAATCGAGGGGAAATGCCCGCTGGCTTTGAGCTCAGCCAGGCAGAAGGCCAGACCCTGGGAGGCCTGGCACAGGCAAGCTTTCTTCCCCTAAGCCTGCAAGAAATCCTTTTCATCTCTAGGAGACAAGCGTCAAGCCACTGCAGAGCACCAATTTCCCCAACCTCAGGAGTGGATGTAGCTAGTACACGGCCAAGGGCTCCGTTTTTCAATGCCCTTCCAGCCCTCTGGTTAAATTTTTCAGAGGTTGGGCCAGGTGTAGTGGTGCACACCTGTAACCCTGGCACTTGGGGGCCTGAGGCGAGAGGATCACCAGTAGTTCAAGGCCAGCCTGAGCTACAGGGTGAGTTTAAAGACAGCCTGAACTGCATAGCAAAACCCTGTCTTGGAGAAGAAGAGGAGGAGGGTGGGGGGGAGAGGAGAAGGAGGAGAAGGAAGGGAAGGAGGAGGGAAAGGAGGAGGAGATAGAAAGAGAAAGGAGTGGGGGAGAGGCTTCCTCTGAAAGCCTTGACAGGGAAAAGTTAATAATCTCTCTAGAAGTTAATAATATTGTATATCAATTATATTCATTTTTATAATAATCTATTCCTGGCAAGTCTAATTTTCCACTTCCTGTGTGATATAAAACTGTCTAAATAAATTTAAATTAACAAATGAATTCGAGGAAAAGTACTGAATAAATAAAAATCCTGTTAGTAGAAGTTTTGTAGCAATAATTGCTAAAATAGTACAAGACGGTGGGAACTGGGTCTGTTCAATTCCTTTTCTCTTTTAACAGCAGTTAAAAAGCGCAAAGAGGTTATGTGATTTGTCCAGAGTCACATAAATAACATCAAAAGCAGGAGAAAAGATAGCCTGTAGTTCATAGCTTTTTTTCTTACTGTAAAAAAAATAAATAAATGAAACGTCCTCGTCCATTCCAGGGCAGTAAAGAGGACTCTGACCGGATCTGCACCCCCGCACCCTCTGACCCGACCCTCACCATCACAGGCAGGGCAGCAGTCGCCCCTGGCGGGGAAGGGGCACTGTGCAGGGGCACACGGCCTGGGCTCGCAGGTGACAGTGCCCTCCCAGCAGAGGCACTCGTGGCACGCGGCGCCGGGCTCCGGGAAGCGCTCCCCGCTGGCGAACTCCTTCCCGTGGTACCGGCAGCCTGCGGAGGCGAGGAGGGGGCTGGCAGCCCTGGGACGCGGCCCTGGGTCCCCCGGGGTCCCCCTAGCATGCACGAGGTGTGGGGTCTGCTCTGCCACGCGCCGCACCCCGCGCCCTTAATTCCTAAGGAGAACCCTGGGCCGAGCGCGGGCCTGGAGGAAGGGGCTCCCGGGCGGCCCGGGTCTCTGGCCGGGCCGGGCAGCGGGGCGGTACCGTCGCAGGAGCGGCAGCAGCGGCCCTGGCGCGGGTGGGCGCAGGGCGCGGGCGCGCAGGGCAGCGGCCGGCAGGACACCGCGCCGTCCAGGCAGAGGCAGCGGCTGCAGGGGTCGCCGGGCGGGGAGAAGCGCTCCTGGTGGCGCGCGGGGGCGGCGCCGGGCCGCGGGCAGCCGGCGGGGGCGGGCGCGGCTGCGGGAGAGGGGGGTCAGCGGGGTCCGCGGGGTCCGCGCGGCGGGGAGCGCGGCCGCGGGGGGCGGTGCCTACCCGGGCACTGCGGGCAGCAGCCTCCGGGGGGCAGCGCGGGCTCGGGGCAGCGCAGCGGCGGGCAGCGGCGGGCCAGGCACTGCACACTGCCGCTCTGCGGGGGGCGGCGGGGCGACACCAGGCTGGGTGAGATCCCCACCCCTGCCAGCCCCACCGCCACTCCCCTGGGCTCCTGCAGGGCACATTCACCAGACAGCGACACAGGCGGCAGGGGTCCGAGGGGTGCGGGAAGTCGGCTCCGCTGGGGTACTCTTTCCCGCCGAAGGCGCAGCCTGGGGAGGCGGCAGCTCTAAGTCAGAGGAGGCCCTCTGTGGCCTAAGCGAAAAGGGCACCGTCCCCACCTCGCCTCACCGCTGCAGTCGCTCTGGCAGCAGGTCCCGGGCAGTGGGTGGGCACAGGGAGCCCGAGGGCAGGGACGAGGCTGGCAGCGGGCAAGGCCTTCCTGACAGTGGCACTCTTGGCAGGGGTCTCCAGGGTGGGAGAAGCGCTGGCCGTCTATAAACACCTGTTTCTCCAGGATGCAGTCTGGGCAGTAAGTAGGGGTGGGGATGGAGGGAAAGGTGACAGCAGGTGACAGCTCCTCTTCTCCGGGGAGCCCAGAGCTGCCAAGATGTTCTGGCTTGAAAGCTGAGTCCGTGCAGGGAGGAGGCTGTCTGCACGTGTGTGCAGACACTGTATGTCTCTGAGCATACACGTGTGTGTGACAGTGTGTATGTGTGAGCATCTGAACCCTGTCACCCCAGCATCCTTGCACCCCAGCATCCACTCCCCTACATACAGATGCACACATAGTGCGTGAACCTGTGTCACGCAGGTGAACATGTGCGTGTATCTGAGAGGCGAGGCACTGGAAGAGGAAATGCAGGACAGGAGGGAAGGGACATCAAATCTCTCCTCCCACCCACACCCCGTGGGTACCAGAGAATTTTTTGTTGTGTGGGACCAAAAGTAGTGCAGAAAGCCATTGATTCAGGAGGTATCTGATGTGTCCACAGGCCCGGTTAGAAGTAAGCTGTACCTGGACACCTGGGGCAGCACTGGCCAGGTTGACTCTGGGGCCTGGCACAGGTGGTGGGAGGGCAGTTGATCACAGAGCACCTCACAGTCCCATCCTGAGAGCAGGAAGATGCTGTGGGGTGGCCGCAGGAGGGGCTCAGCCGGGCAATGGCGAGCCAGAGCGGTACTGTACCTTGCAATGGCAGGCCTGGCAAGGGTCTTCCGTGTCTGTGAAGTTCTGCCCACTGGCGTATGGGTGGCCATGGTAGGTACAGCTCTCACAGCTGGGGCAGCAGGCACCTGGATGGGGCAGGCTGGTCAGGTGGGCAGGTGAAACAGGGGAAGAAAGCCAGGGTGGGCTGGGGCACTCACCAGGTAGTTGGGTGGGGTGTTGGCAGGGGGGTGGGGAGCAGAGCACAGGCCCACAAATGGGCACCCCATCTTGGCAGGAGCAGGTGGTACAGGGCTGACCATCAGGCTCCCACTGGACCCCTTCAGCAAACTCCTCTCCATCAAGCACACAGGCTGCAGTGAGGGGGTTGTCACAGAGCAACCAGAATACTTGTCACCCACCCTCTCTTTCCCAGCCCTCAGGGTCCCCAGTTTGACATCCTCCTGGGGCCTCTGTACCCCCTCAACTCTCCTCTTTACTGCAAAGAAACAGCCTCCTCCCATACACCCACCTGGGCAAAGCCTCGGGCCAGAGCCAGATGGGGCACAGGGGGTGACTGGGCACTCCTGCTCCTCACAGGAGACCTCGCCAGCCTAAGAGGAAGGCCAGGTGAGAGGCCCCCAAGGAGCAAGACAGCCTGGGTGGGACATGATGAGACTGCCCACCTGGCAGGAGCAGCGGACACAGCGACCACTCTCCTGGAGCCTGAAGGTCTCCTGGCTCTGATACTGGAGTCCCTGGTACTCACAGCCTGGATGGGAGGACAGGTGGCTGGGGGGGATGAGGCTGGCACCTGAGGCATCCAGCCCCTTGTCATACCACAGCAGCACAACTCCCACCAGTCCTTACCCCCCCCCCCCCCCGAAGGTGAGGTACAGACTCACCTGTGGGAACAGCAGCTTAGGTGCAAGGAAGCCACGCCCATCACCACCCAGAAGCCCTCCGCAGCCAGTGCCTGCCTCTCAGCAGCAGCTGCAGCTCCCACTCACCATCGCAGACTGGGCAGCACTGCCCAGAGATCCTGCCTGGGTGTCGGCAGGGCACAGGTGGGCAGGGCAGAGGCTCACACTGGACGCTCCCGTTCTGCCAACAGGGTGTGGTCAGTGGGCAGCAGGCAGTCCCAGAAGCCAGGCTGGCCCTGCCAGGCAGCCACACTCACAGCACAGTGACAGCGCAAGCAGGGGTCCCCGGAGCCCACAGGCTCCCCACTACGGTGCTCCCTCCCGTTCAGGAAACAGCCTAGTGGGAAGAGGTGCACAGGCTGTCCTCGAGGGCCTTGCCACCTCACTCCTGGCCGTTACGGGAAACCCAGGCTGGACCGGCAGTCAGGAACCCCTGACTCACCATCGCACACCGGACAGCAGGTGCCTGGGAGGGGCCGGGCGGGGTATGGGCACAAGCTGGCACATTCTCGCTGGTGGCACTGGATGCGGCCCTCCTGTGGGGGTGATGGGAGGAAGCCAGGGCAAAAACAGTGCAGGAGTCCCAGCTTTTTGGGCACTGGGTGCTATCAGTGAATTGCACCGCACACACAATTCTTAGGTTAAAGTGCTGACCCCTGGCCCCCTCAGAATATGACTTTATTTGGAAATAAGGCTGCTGCAGTTACTATTAGTTGAGATGAGCTCACACTGGAGCAGGCAGGTCCCTAATCCAACTGACTTGTAATGAGGCAAATTTTAGACTAAACACACAGACAGACAAGCAGTGCCATCAACCACACCACCACCTGCCCCACCAAGCTGGGAAAGGCACAGAGCAGATTCTCCTGCACACCCCCCAGAAGGAACCAACCCAAACACTGATCTTGGATTTAGGTAACATTTCTACTGTTTATGCCACTTGGTCTGTTGTCTTTTGTTACATAAGCCCTAGGAAACTAATACTGTATCAGTATAAAACCTAGCTTGGTACTCAAGTACTCTGTACATTAACCAGTGCAGGATATTAATAAGAAATTTTACATCCCTTGGTTCCAAGTCTTTGAAATTGGTACAGCTACACATGTATGTGCATCTCAATTCTGATTGCCACATTCTAAGGCTCAGAGGCCACATGTAGTGGTGCCCACCAATTGGATGTCCCAAGACAAGCTCCCTGGAGCTTTTGCTGCCATCATATCCCACTCTGTCTCTCCCCCTTCTTTGAGAGTGTGTACAGCTGAGCACACCAGGCCGGTGCACACAGCACCCAGGATTCCGTCTCCATCTCTGCCCCGTCCCAGTCCTCATGAATACACTCACTGGAACAAGGTTACCAATCCCGTGAAGCCAAAGGAAGGATGGGGTGAGTGACAGGACTCACCAGGCATTGGCAGATCTGGCAGGGGTCGCCGGGTGCAGTCCACTCTTGGCCATGGTCCCTGTGAATGCCATCTTCTGTGCAGCCTGGGACTGGGTACAGAGGAAGCCTGGTAGGAGGTGTCCCAAGTCTCCCCAGATGCCTTTAGCAGACCAGGCTAAGCCTCTGCATAGGCAGAGAGAGGCCCCCATGGCAGACTGCCCCCCATGGCCTTCCTCCACAGCACAGCCACCCCCACCTGCCCCTGCTACAGGGGGTGCTCCACACCTCTCCCTAGCTCCCACTCATAGCTACTTGTACTGCACCCCTAATGTTCACACACACCCCAGTCATGCTGAGGGTCAGGTCCAAGCCTTGCTTACATTGCCCCTCTTCCTGGAAGGTCCTCTGCCTTCTTTGACCCATCACCTAGCTAACTGTTCTTCATCTTAAGAGTCCCCTTCCCACTGGCTGCCTCTGAGCCCGCCTCCCGGGCCAGCTGGATCAGAAAGTCTTCTGAGTTTCCTCAGTACCTGGCCCTGCTTTTATTCCTGACTGTGACATTTGTTTCACAGTATTGGTGTCTGACTCAGGGTCACCCTAGTGGTCATTGCCGAGGGCATTTCCCTCATTTTTGGTGTTGGGGTGCTGAAAGCAGGTTAATAATGGCCATTTATTACCCAACCCTATGAGGTCTAGAATATCACTATAGTAGAAAAATGGGGAAACGGAGGTATAAATTGACCTAGAGCCACACAACCACTAAGTGACAATTTGAGCTTAGACACTGCAGCTCCAGATCAGGCCTGGACTGGCACTGTTCCCCCGAACCCCAAACCAAATCAGTTATCAGAGTGGGCTGTGGAGGTGAAGCAATGACATGAGGGTCTGCTAGGGGCTCCATAAGAAAAAGTCAAGGGCTCTCACCTTGGCACACTGGGCAACAGTGCCCAGGCCTCTGAACTGGCTTTGGGCAGGGGCTGGGTGGACACTTCACAGGCACACAGCGAACCAGGCTCCTCTGTAATGCACCAATAGCTGCAGCTGCCCACAGGTCTCCCAGAGGGTACGAGGCGGGCAAGAGTCAGGCAGGAATGGAAGGACCACCGTGGCACCCACTCTCACAAGACATACTATAAATGACTAAGAGCAGCTGGCATGGCCCAGCCTGGGGCCTTGGCAGTGGTGGCAGAGAACTTACCAGGCAGGAGCACTGGAGACAAGGGTTGGAGATGGAGAGGAAGCTGGCCCCCTCTTCGTAAAGCTGTCCCTCATACTCACAGCCTGGGGAGGGTTGCCAGGGTGACAGGTGGGTCACTACACAGTGAGCATCTCCAAGGGACGGCATAACCCCCTAGTGGGAACTGGACCCACTGGGACTAGAGCAGAGCAGGAGGTCACCTGGCCGGCAGACAGGGCAGCATTCCCCAGGTGGGGTGTAGCTCTCCAGACAGTTGAGCTTGGAGCATGAGGGCCCCTGGCACTGCACGGTCCCTGCCTGCAGGGCAGACATTGAGCCCTACCTCACTCCCTCCGCACTGCTGGAGCCAACCTACTCTCCCAGCCTTGCAGCCTAGCAGGCTCCAGGCCTCAGGCCCTGGGTAAGGCAGCAGCCAGGTCTGCATCCAGATTAGGATGGGTCGGACCTGGGGCGGCGGGAATGCAGGTGGGGGCTGGGGCAGCAGGGGTGCAGCAGATAGCTGGGGCCACGCCCTCATCCTCTTACCTGGCAGGTACAGAAGACACAGGGCCCTGGATGCCATGTTTCCCCTGACCTGTGACCCTCAGGGCAGTCTGCAAAACCAGACCCAGGGCACTGGGTGCCACACCACAGTGGCACCATTCAGGACCCAGGTATCAGAGAGTTTTATGTTTATTACAGCTTTCCAGCTGGTGACAGTCAACTCTCTCACTCTAACATAAATATTTGTTTATTCCGACAGGGTCCCCCTATGTCGTTGAGCATGGCCTTGAACTCACTATTTAGCCTAGGCTAGCCTTGAACGTGTACCCAACCTCCTGCCTCAGCCTCCCACAGTGTTGGGATCACAGGCATGCACGACTATGCCTGGCTCCTCAGTGTATTTAGTTTATAACAGGTAGGAGTAAAGTGTTTTGAAAGGAGTGATTTCTTTTCTTTTCTTTTCTTTTAATTAAAGGCCATTATTTCAGGGATTCAACCAGTCACCAACTCCTGCACATTATTTAGAAACACCTGCCCTAGCAGTCTCTTTTTTTTTTTTTTTTTTTTTGTCTTTTTCATTTTTATCGGTACCAGGGATCGAACTCACGACTGCCTGCTTACAAGGCAGGCGCTTATGCCGCTGAGCTAAGTCCCCAGCCCTCCCCTAGCAGTCTCTTACCATCCCTGGCTCCATGCCTAAATGATGGCTGTAGATCCCCCCACTGGTCTCTGCGTCCAGCCCACATCAACTGAGTATTCCTAAATATTCTAGCCACACTCTAGCTCTTCAGCCTTCCACCACTCCCTTCTGCCCACAGAAGAAAGTCTAACTGCAGGGCTTATACCAGCTGGTTTCCACTGGCCTTCACAGGCTGATTCCTGGAACCTATTTCTCTGTGCCTGGTTCCTGTGCACCAAGGGGCCTCTAATACTCCTCCTCATGGGGGAAATCCCACCTTCTTTTGAAGATCCAGCTCAAATGACCCCGGCCTACAAAAGCCTCCATGACTGACTGGCTACTCAGATGGGCATCCCCTGCCCTCCTGTTCCTTCCTCTGGCAAAGTATGTGCTGTCTTCTCCATCTCTTAATCTATTCTTTGGATCTTAAATCTTATGTTAGATTAGCTGTAAATTTAGCTTCTCAACTAGACCAGATGCTTCCTGAAGGTCTGGATAAGCTCTGAGGCAGTCACAGGCTAAGGGTCAGCTTTCCTGGCCTCCAGCACTCCCCCAGCATGGTCATAGTGTCCTCTCACTCCCCCGTTCTCAGGTCCCCCAGAGCACAAGCAGGAGGGAGAGTCAGACCTGTAGCAGGCTACCTGGTTCACAGTGTGGGCAGCACACTCCTGGCTCAGGGCAGGGTGATCCTGGGCATGGCTTCTGGGTACAGGTGATGGCCCCTTCCTGCGGAAGCAGGTTAGGGTGATTGCAGGGCCTTCTGAACCCCAGGTAGGGACTTGTCCAGAAGCAGAAAATGAGTTGGCTCAACCTACCTGGGCTATCCTAGCCCAAGGGCAGAAAGGAGATATCCCACCCCATGCCATCCTTCCTGAAGCCCTGGACCCTGAAAACCCTCTTTTCCAGGTGCCAGCAACTTCCCCAAAGTGGAGAGATCCTCGGAACAGAGCCAAGGGCTTTCTCAAGGGAGGAGTAAGAAAGAAAAAGCCAGAAGAAAAGTCTATGGAGGCAAGTGACAGAAAGCAGGCAGAGGGGAATGTGAGATAGCAGATGGGCGAGGTGAGGGGAGCAGCACGGTCACACAGGCGAGGGCCCGAGGAAAGAAGACAGCACCTGCATCTTCACCCTCCATGCCACTATGTGCCACGGCCAAATCAGGGGCCTTGGGGTCTCTGGAGGTGGTGGTGCACTTCAGAATGCAGAACCCGTAAGAATCAGCCCAAGGCCACAGTCGCAAGGTTGAGGAAAAGGACAGGCAGAACCCATCCCTCAAAACCTAACAATAGCTCTTCGTGACACACAGCTAGAGGAGAGGATGCGGGACAGGGACGGGATGCCTGGTGGTCATGGGAGCTCACCAGGCAGCGGCAGGTGATGCAGGCATCTGGGGAGAAGGCCTCCCCATCACCATAGACCTGGCCATTGTGGCTGCAGCCTGAGGAAGAAACATTGTGGCATTCAGGCCCCAGCATCATCTCCAGGCCCTGAAGTGGCCCAGCAGGTCGGTGGGGTGGCACTAACCCTGGCAGTGGGGCAGGTCGGGCTGAGGGCCACAGCGTGCCACCCCATTCTGGCAGATGCAGGCGGTGCAGGCGTCCGGCTCCCAGCGAGCACCCTCGGGCCATGTGCGCCCCAGCCCCCAGCACTGGGCAGAGGTGGGGCGGCACTCGCAGGACTCCAGCTGCCTCACTCTGGCCTGCAGCTCCTTGTTCTGGGGAAGGGTGGGACTGCAGCTCAGGCTTCCCCACCATTTCACATGGATTTGTGAGGTGAGGCAGGATGAGAGCTTGACAACTCTACAGAAGAGGTGAGACTCCCCGCTTTGACATCCACTTCAAATAGTTCTCAGGGAGCAGAAGTCCATCCTTGGGCAGAAAGGGGACTCGTCCCCACCTGTGCCTTGCACAGAGTAGGTGCTGCATCATGAAGGGACAGAAACCCAGACCAACACAACAAGGACCGGAGTCCTCACTCATGAAAGAACAGATGCAAGGGGCTGTTCAGAAGAGACCTTCTCTGTGTGCTTTTACAATGAAATTATTTTAGGGTCCCCAGGTCCTCCCCAAACCCTCTCTTTTCTTCCAATATGCAGAAGCCCACCTCAACCCAAACATGCAGCCCTACATCTATGGTACCTGCTCTCTGAGCTTGGTCACCTCAGCCTCCAGTCGCCCCAGCCGTTCCTCCAAAGGGTGCCACTGTTTCTGGGGGCTGCCAACAGCGACTGAGGAGTGGGCAGGTGTCTCGTGCTGGTAGTTGTGGATGTCAGCAAGCCCGGGGGGCTCCCTGAGGACAGTCCCACCTGAAGGGCACAAGAACCCACCAGAAGGCGAGGGCTAGTTCTGTACTCTACCAGCCAGGGAAGGGGACGTGGTCTGGGGATTTTGTTTGGTTTTGAATTTATTTATTTATTTATTTATTTATTTATTTTTTGAGATGGGGTCTTGCTCTGTAGTTCAAACTGCCCTTGAACTCACTAGTAGTTTCAGGCAAGCCTCAAACTCTTGATGATTCCTCCTGCCTCGGCCTGCTAAGTGCTGGGATTACAAGCGTGGACACCTGTCTGGTGAGGTCTGTAAGAGTTGAAAGCTAAGGGAGGGCATACAAATAGGTAAGGAAGCCCTGAGTAAACAAAAGTGGTCCAGAGCAGCTTTCCTTTCTTGTCAGTTTGAACCTCTGGGACACTGACCTGTGAGGGGACACAGTACCCAGACCAGGGCCTCCCTGCAGCCTGGCGGACTCTGTAAAGACCCTTATTATAAGAACATGAGGTCACTGCTCCCAGGCTCACAGTGACCTAGGAACCTAACCTGTCCCTGACATGTCATGCTGGGAGAACCCAAAAGCCAGCACAGGCTGAAACGCAGGGTGGGTAAGGCAGCTACCTTTGTGGAGGTAAACCCTGCACACCTGTCTGAAAGGGCACCACCTCCAGCCTGGCCACTGTTTCTTAGGCCTGCGGCCGTGGTCTAGGGCTCCACGTGGTGGGTAGGTGGGCTTTAGAACTTGAGACCTGACTGTGTTTTCTGAAGGGTTTGGAGGAAGTGCTGGCAAAGCCGCCATGAGCTTCCAGCACCCCAGGCCCAGAGAACACAGCCTGCCCCTGGTTCCGGATGACGCTGAATGAGAGAAGCGGGAAGGCCTCTGAGTTCAGGTCTGATGCTGGAGAAGGGCCGTGTTGCCTTCTCACCTTCATCCTGCTCTCCCCAGTCAGGAAATAAAGTGGGGTGGGGCAGGCAGACCCCAGCGGTCACTTCCCACAGACACCCAGGTGGGGACAGGAGTGGGGGGTGCTACAGAGGGGCCTTGAGGAGGAGGTAAGAGCCAGAGGCCCAGAGAGAGGAGTGGCCTTTCCCATGCGGCAGCTCAGTAGCAGGCAGCCTGGGGTGGCTGGAGGGTTTCTCACTGACACTGAGGCAGGAAAACAAGGTCATCCTCTCCTCCCCCCAGCCCTGCCACCACCAAGGAGAGAGGGGACTCTAGTCCAAAACCTGCTTTGCCCAAGTTCTTTGGCTTGGATAATGCCACCTCACCAATGCAGTTACCTAAGCCAGAAATGTGCAACTCTGCGCCCGTCGTCTGCACCCTCCTCAGTCCCATCAGCCTCTGATCTCCAGTCCCCACCTCTCCTTGGGTCTTCTCCCAGCTGACTACAGTCCTTCTTTCTCAGCTGGACCTTTCTAAATCTCACAGGATGGGGGTCCCCTGCAGCAAGTTCAAACACGACCTCCCCCCCAACAGGACCCCTCTTTCCACCACCCCTAAACTGAGCCCCTAAGCTCATTCAGCCCCTAAGCTCCTACCACCAACATTGGAGCTCCCTGTTACTGCTCCTGTCACACCCACATACAGGGCATCCTGTCACCAGCAACGGCACTCTGTCCTGGCCCCGCCCTTGTGCTCATCTTCCTCCCCATCCACATGAGGGCGCTCAAGGGCAAGGTCTCCGAATCTGAAACTCCACCAAGCTGGTCCCCCCCCACCCCCCTTCGTATCCTGGCTTGCTCCTTCAGTCCTGTTAAAGACCAGGGGCCTGAGGGCTCCTCTGGCAGACTTACGCCTTCCGCAAGGGCTTCTGAAGGCGGCACAGTCCCACTGCTGCTGTGGAACTCTCCCCTAGCCCAGCTCCCCTCCAAGCCTTCCTCCACCTCTCCCTGCAGGGCCCCCCCCCATTCCTGCCTGTCCCCCTTGGGGGAGGGATGGAGAGACTCCAAGTCTGCTCCCACAGCAAGCTCCATTTCCCTCCTCCTTTCCCATGACAAATAATTAACTTCAGATTCTCAGATGCCAGAGCAGCCTCTCCCCCGCCGCGGCCTGCAGGAGTCTCAGGGGGATAGAGGAGCCCCCCCCCCTCCTGAGCCCTCACCAAGGCCGGGTTCCCCCATCCTCTCCCCGACCGCAGATGAGAGGACGAGGGGCAGCCACCAGGTGGAGCCGGGCGGAGCAGCTCGGTCCCGAAGTGGCTCGAGCTAGGCGGAGCAGGGTGGGATGCCTGGCGCTCCGCGCCCTCTGCCCGACTCACCTCCCGCGACCCTGCCGGCCGCCAGGGCCAGGCTGCAGAGGTGCAGCAGCAGGAACAGCGGCGCCCCGCCGAGCTCGGCCATGCTCCTCCGCCAGCCCCGTCCGTCGTCGTAGTGGCTCAGCAGGCCTGGGGGAGGCGGAGTAGGAGGACACAGGCCACCTCCCACCCAGTCTTTGTTCAGGGAGGGCCCCTGGCGTCTGTCATCCCACTCGCAGTGCCCGCCTCTCCGATGGCCACCTCGCCTGGGGCCCCAGCCCAGCCCAGACCCCAGCCCACAGCCCCAGCCCCGGGCCTGGTGGTGGCCCCATCTCCTGTAGATCACCCAGCTGGAGACACCGAACATAAACAGAGTCACAGCTCCGGGGCTCTGGGACCGCCCTTCTCTTTGCTCCTTGAGTTGTCCTGGGGTTTCTCAGTTTAGCTCTTTCCCCATCTCCTGGGTTTACAAGAGCAAACTGAACTGGGCTCCAATCCCTGTGTGGTCAATTCCATGTGGCCTAAAACAGACCTGCTATCTTCTCTGTGCCTCAGTTTCCCTGTTTGTAAATCTCCCCTAGAGACTTGCAGCAAGGACTAAGTGAGATTATGCAGACAAGGAATTTAGGGTAGTGCCAGTAAGTGCCAAGTGCCCAGCTAGTAACATTAGGTGCTAGGCTCTGTCTTTGAAATCAAGGGCCCAATCTACCTGCTCTCCACCCATGCCTTTTCTTCCTGATTCTACTCACCCCTTCTACCCACCCAGCAGCTTCTGGATTGGCCCTGAATGCTGAGGCTCCCCCTCACTGGCTGATCCCAGCCCCACTTTCCAGCTGCTGAGCTGGAGTCTGGCCTGTGGGGTGAGCCTGGGCAGGGGCAGGGCTGTGCCTGGGGCTCAGCAGACCCGAAGCCCAAGGGAGGAAATGCGGGAGGCTGGGAAACTCCTCAGTGCAGCTGGAAAGCAGAGGGAGGTCGGAATGGGGCCCCTAACTCTCAGCAGTGAGGGACCTTGAGGGCGGAGCTGTGAATCCTGCCAGCAATCTCCCTCTGCCTGCAAAACCAGGAGGGGGAAGCCACCCCTCCCCCCGCCAGGCAGGGACCAAAGGTCTCCCCCAGCCATCTCTGCCTAAAGAGTGGCTGACAGCCCTTCCCCAGGCCTGTGCTTCCTCCCCGAAGGAGGCCTGAGCAGAGTGCAGCAGGGAGAAGGGAGGCTGTGACTCAACCTGGCCTTGCGACCTGGAATCAGGGTCACAGGGCAGAAGAAAGTCGGGGCCAATCATCTGGAAAAGAAATAAGGAAATGGCAGCTGTCTTCCCACGGGGCTCAGCAAAATCATTTCTGTTCACTACAGGCCTCATTCGAGGCCAGTCCTGGGAAGCCATGACCACAGAGACCTCCAGGCCTCATCCTGGGTCTGCTGCTTGCTGATGTGTGACTTCAATAAACAACTCGTGGATATAGGGTTAAAAAAGAGTAACATCCAAAAAGAGCACCTCGCACAGAGCCTGACTACACACGTGAGGTCTTTCCTTTTGGGATCTCTGATCTGTCCTGAGGCCATGCAGGTGGGATAGCTGTGGCCTCATTTTACACCCCCCCCCCAGAGATACTGGGCAAGCGCACTGGGCACAGACCACAGAACCAGGATTCAGTGCAGGTCACTGGCAAACTCATTCTCCCACTCCCAGAGAGGAGCATTTCCTGTGTCCCCATAGTTCTCCCTTTATCTACTGAACCATCTTGGCAAGTTAGTAAACTTTCCTCAGGCTCAGCTTCCTCCCTGAGAACCCTGGAAGACGAACACTTCTGTTAGGAGACATTGTGGTCCAGGTCTGTAATCCCAGCACTCAAGTGGCTGAGGCAGGAGAGCTGAGAGTTCAAGGTGAGTTTGAGCTACAAAGTGAGGACCCTGTCTCCAAAGACAACAACAAAAACAGAGCGCCTCTGTCATGGCTATTGTAGGGATTGTCTTAGCCTGGGATTCCTGAAGGCAGAGCACGGAGCAAACAAAGGCTTAGGTCAGTGACTTTGGAATGGGATCCCAGTGGGAGCAATGAAACAGGGAGGGATGGGCAGCCATGCCAGGTTGCAGATGAAGCTGGCCATTGCTACAGGCATCTGAGTGTCCAACCCCTCAGAACCACCTGGGCAGTGTAACAGTCAGGCAGGGAGCACAAGCACCAGAGGAATCCCAAAGTGAGGGAGGACACAGCAGCAGCCAGGCCTGAGCAAGACACCAGCAGGGTGCACCCAGGTGGGGCTGCCTGCAGCCTGTGGAAAGCTACAGTGAGGCGGCATCAGGATTTGTACCAGAGGGGTCCGACACAGTGTTCTAAACAAAATGATGCACAGAAAATGCTTCTTATGTGCCCGGCATGTTTTAAGCACCACCACCACCACCACCTCCCCACAACCCCGTGTTACTACATTTATTATCACAACCATCATCTTCCTCCACGGCCCAAACTGAAAAGCCCATGTTAACATGCTTTGTCTGCAACGGAAAGTAAGAAAGCTTCTGGAAAAACCTTTGTGAAATCAGAGCTCAATCTCCTGGGAGACTGAGTTCATTTGAGTTCCAGGACTCAGTGACCAATGTAAGCCTCTTTCATGTCAGGCACCATCCTGCCCTGGCACAACCCTGAATGAGACGTGGTTCAGCCCGAGCCTCAGTGCAGGCTTGGTGAAGGTGCCCAGAGTCCTGGCAGAGGGAGGCGCAGGAAGACTCAGTGCCTACAAGTAAAGGGCTCCGCTCCTCCACTGGTCTGGGGAACCACTGCAGCCTCCCTGGCTCAAGGAGGAAATCTCAGCTGGGTAGAGGACTTGAGTCGCTGCTTGGCCTAGAGGGCCCCGGTGGGAGGCTGCTGGCTTCCTCACATGACAAGGGGACCTCAGGGAAGGCACTGGCCACACACAGGAGCGCACAGTGCTACCAAAGAGGGTGAGCCACTGACTCCCGACTTCTGTCCCCCCCTCCACTTCCTGCGCTGTTGCTCTGTTTCTTGCCCTCCCGTTCTCCATCTATTGCAGCTCCTACAGATCACATCACGGCCGGCCTTCCTCTCTGTCTTCATCTCTTCCGGCACAGGCACAACAGAGTCCCGCGGACAGGAGAGGGACAGGTGGGAGTTTTCTTTCCTGGCCTCCTGCTGCCCGCGTGGGCTCCATGGCACCTCCTTTCATCAGGAGGTAGTGATGGTTCCCTGCTCTTGTTAGTAGTCCCTGATGCCTCCTTTGTTGGTTTCAACTATGTCTGCAGATAGGAAGTCATCCTTTTAAATTTCCTGTAACACTGGGTGTGGTGGTTGCATGCCTAGAATCCCAGCACTTGGGAGGCTGAGGCAGGAGGAACACTGTGAGTTCCAGGCCAGCCTGGGCTACATAGTGAATTCAGGGGCAGCCTGAACTGCATAGTGAGACTTGTCTCAAAAAATAAAATAAAATACAATAAATTTCCAGTAGCACTGAGCAAAGTAGCACACGCCTGTAATCACAGCTGCTCCAGAAGCTGAGGCAGGAAGATGACAAGTTTGAGCCATGTCTGGTCAATTTAGCAACTTGGTAAGATCCTCTCTCAAAATAAAAAACGAAAAGGGGGCTAGAGATGTAGTTCAGTGTGAAAGCTCTGAGTTCAATGCCTAGTACCCTCCTTCCTCCCAAAAAAGAAGAAAAAAATTTTTTTCTTTAGCTAATCTTTAGCTAAACCAAACTTTTCCATCTGTAAAGTGAAACAAAAGCCCGTTCCTTATGTGCCTGTGTGTGCACGGCATCTGCCACACAGGAGACCCAGACACGAGCCACTTATTCCAGCCTCCTCCCAGTTGTACTGTCAACAGCAGCAGGGTGGTTTTCTGTCTGCATTTGGTGTCTGGAAGCAAAAGGTTGTTGTGGGAGGGCGGGAAGGCATTAAATAAATGGCTAGCTTTTTCTATGTCATTTGATACCTTTCAAATGGCAACGTCTGGGACCAGTGAAACAAGATGCATACAAGGATATAAAGCCAGGGCTCTGGTTGCTGCAGTCCCTGGTCGGGCCATTGCTCCCACGCCGATGTAACCAATGGTAACAGCCCGAGGTGGGGTTCACCACCCCTCACAGCCAGAGACAAGCATGTGCACACACATGGTTCAGTTTTAGGAACAGGCTGTGTAGGATCCAGCTCCTGCCCCACATCCCCCACGACCCTTCCAAATCACCTCCAGACCACCTCTCTGAGTAGTTTCCATCTCAACCCTCCCAAGCCCCCACCTGCCCCCACCCAGACTTGAAATACCGTGTTCACCTCAGGCAAAAAGATCCTGGCTGAGTAGCTGCGGCCTAGGCCTAAGGAATGTTTCCATGGAACTGAGATTCTGATTCCACAGGGCAAACTCACACCCCAGTCTGCCTACGCTTCCTCCAAATTCAGCCAAACACCTTGCAGCTTCCAGTGGGGTCTCCCTCACCTGCCCTCAGAACACCTCCCCCATCACCCCCACCACCCCTGGTCCACCCTGAGCTGCTGCCGCTTGCTGAAGCAGGATGTGCAAGCAGGAAAGTTCCCTTGGAACCTGCTTCCTCACCAGCTGGAGCCTGCTAGGAATTTAGGAGGGTCCTTTTCATTTTGTTTCATGTCTGATAGGGAGAGAGACCCGTCACGTTGAAATGCAATCACAGCCAGCCCCGGGTCCCTTCCAGGCGTTCACATCGTGTCTGTCATCCAAGCCCAATGTTCTGCAGCCTGGCAACCTGCCACCCACTTGGTCTTCATCACTCAGGGCCCCGCCCTGAGCCTTACACAGTGCCTCCTAGTGGTCCAGTGGAACTTTCGGCAGACATCAGGACTGTCCAGTGTGATGGCTGCCTGTAACGTGACCAACGCAGCTGAGCCACTGGTTTTCTGGGTTTTTTTCCCTTCCTTTCTTTCCTCTTTCTCCTCCTTCTTTTGTGTCAGTACCAGGCACTGAACACTGGACCTCACACATGCAAGGCAAGTACTTTACCACTGAGCTATAGGCCCAATCTCTTTTTATTTTTCATTTTGAGACAGGCTCTTGTTAAATTTCCCAGGTTAAATAACAAATGTTGGTAGGGTATGTGGGAGAAAAGGAATGCTTCTCTGCTGTTGGTGGGAGTATAGACTGGTGCAGGCACTGTGGAAATCAGTGTAGAGATTCTTCAAAAAACTAGGATTGGAGGTCCCCCAGCTATTCCCCTTCTTAATATCTTAATATCATGTCACAGTGATATATGTGCACCCATGTTTATAGCAGCACAATTTAT